GAAATCTTTCCTAACCTTTCTCTCTTTAATTTACTCGGCTGCGCACTTAAACTGTTTGATTGCTTTGTGATTTGTGAATTGATAAGTAATCTTAATTTTCGGATTAGATAATCTGTGTTTTTCGAAAAACTTTCAAAGATCAATTCACCCCCCCTCTTGATCTAAAACTACTTTTCTAACAGCCTACAATTCTTGCCGACACCTTGCTCTCGGTGGAATTTTGCCGCCAGAAGCAAGGAAAAACACTTCATTGTTGCTCTTCACTACTCTTTGTGTGGGGCATCACAAATTTTTACGCCTCTAGTCACATGGGGATGTTCCCCGACCCTTTGAGGAGCTTCTCCAAAATCCCTCTCCAACGACGCTTAACCTCAGAGTGGAAGGACGAGTTGGAATAATGGGACGCCAACCATTTATCCTGGGTCTGCCCTTGGTTCCGACCAGGTCTAGTCCTCATCAGATGTGGGGATTATCCGAACGTACCCTTGATAGGACTCAGGGGTTGCATAGCCTATTCACCTAGAGTAGCTATGAGACAACTCATGAGGACTCAAACTACAATTTCCCGAGGGGAGCTCGGAGGACTGTGTTTCTTCGGAGACCCATGCGCAATTGCTAACTCACCAGATGTGAGAAGAGCATGGGAGAGACCAGTCTTTATGGGAGATAGAGAGCTAGGAAAAGCTCGAGTGGCTGTCTCCAGTGACTATGAGGTGTGGAGAAAAAGAAGAGGGATGTCTCAACCATCCACCTCACTCATTACATGTGCCAATAGTGAAGAGCTGCAAACTCAAGTCGACGCCTTGATCCAGAGGATAGAAATCATGGGAGCCCATATGAGGGCCCTTGAGGAAAAATAACAGGAATCTATCCTCACCATAGATGGTCTGTGTCGCCGCCTCCCCGAAAAGGGGGCGCGGTCGGAGCGACGCGATGGTTTTTCGACCCTCTTGCTTTTGCGTTTTTTTATGGGTGGTTACAACGTCCTTAGGTTGTCCGATAACCGAGCTAACCCAAGAACGTGTTTTTTAAAGGGTTCAGGAGTCGCCACCGATGTTTTTACCAGAAACATCGGAAAAGGAGTTTTAAAGGCGTTGGTTTTCAAAAACCAACTTTGGTCATTAGAACCAGAGTTGGGTAAGGGAGTTAGTTACGTGTAAAGGAAGTGTTAGTTCCTTTACGACGCCCCTTTCGGGTTCCCTATGATAGGCCGGCTATTTTGGATAAATAAATAAACTAGAAAATACGCTTTTACCCTTTTTATTACGCGGAATTTAAAGATTATGACTACATGGCCCTAACGTTTATTGCATAATTTAAATGAAAGCAGTAAAAGTAGAAAGGGAGAGTGTGAAACCTCCAAAGCAAGCTTTTTCTATTCTCTTTTAAAGAATGGGTGCTTTGCGGCAACCCTTCACTCTACAACACTCAGAAACTCCGGAAATGCCTCGGAGGGATTCTAAAGAAGATTTGAGACGCTCAAAATACTCCTAAAGACACTCAGAAACTTCGGAAATGCTTCGGAGGGGTTCTAGAGAGAGAAAATCTAGAGAGAAGGAGGAGAAACTGTGTGGAAAAAGGGGAAATGGAGCCCCTATTTATAGTTTTTCGCACCTGATAGGTCGAGACCGCCGTCTCGTCTGATAGGGTCGAGACCGCCGTCTCGACAAACCAGACCGCCGTCTCGACCTTCGCAGGTGTCGAGACCGCCGTCTGGGAAGTCGAGACCGCCGTCTCGTCCTTCGCAGGTGTCGAGACCGCCGTCTGGACCATCCAGACCGCCGTCTCGACCTTTGCAGGTGGCGAGACCGCCGTCTGGACAAACGAGACGGCGGTCTCGTCACTGGCGTGAGGCGAGACGGCGGTCTGGAATTTTCAGACGGCGGTCTCGTCCTAACAGGGCGAGAAACTTTATTTTTCGTGCCAAAAAACCTTCCTATCCTAGTATGGGGGCCTAATAGTCTCTCCTAGTGGCTTTTTAGGCTTCAACCATCTTCAAATAGGAAGTTTTCTGACTTTATTTGGAGGTTGGGCAAGATTTGGGGTCTACAACTGCTCCCCCTTTACCTGACTAGTCGACTGTTGGCTTGTTGTGCCAGACAGGTGGACACGAAGGTAAAGGAGTTGACCCTCTCGCCTGGCTACCCTTCAGACGTCCCGTCTTGCGGCGGTTTGATCTTCTGGGAAAAGTTGTGTTTGTGCGCCTCCGGGATACTACTCCTGACATAGCCGATCCCTTTGGTTGACACGTGGTGGAACCTCTGGATACTACTCCTGATGTAGCCGATCCTTCGGTTGATGGGTATAAACCCCCCATCAGGCTGGTAGTTACAGTCCATTGTGTGGGACTGGATGGGTATGAACCCCCCATCAGGTTGGTAGTTGCGGTCCGTTGTGCCGGACCGGATGGGTATGAACCCCCCATCAGGCTGGTACAGTCCACTCTGTTGAACTGGTGGTGGTGGCGTCTTACAGCTCAGGTGGCTCATGCGCCGTCTCCCCGAGGAGTGACTTCTGTGTTTGTAGATGTGTTCATCCGGGTTGTGTCGGAGATTTTGTTGGTTTGTTCATCCAGCTTCATTGGTTGCTGAGGATTCTTTGCTTTTGATCTTTTGTGGTGATTACCTGACTCTTGCTGGCTAGTCGGGTTATCTTTGTTTTTTGCTCGACTTTTGCTTAGTAGTCGGAATTTTGTTGGTCAAGGTAGTCGTTTTGTTTTAATCCTGCCGTTTTCTCACGGTTTTATTTCTTTTTTTCTCGCGTTTTTTGGATTTTGGCTTTTTTTGTGTTTGAGCGTATGCCTTTTTCTTTTAAGTTTCTTTTATTGCGCTGGCTTTTGCAAAAGATGGCAAAGAATGTATGAAGAAAAATTTTTATTTATGATAAAACTTTATTACAACAACTTTTATTATAGCAGGTACAACCACTATGGACTATCCTTAGAAGGGGTACCGTGGTAGGGAAATTGTTTATACATGTGGTACCGGAAGTCCTCTTGCTCTTGGACTTCGTCATTGTAGTCCTGCTGGAATGTCGCCCATTCCTGCCGCAGCCTCTGCTGCTCCTGGTAGATCTCGTCCTGGCAAGCTTGGAAGGCCTGCTGGCGAGCGTCGTGGGCCTGCTGCCACTGGGTCTGCTGCTCTTGCCACACCGCCATTTGGCTGAACTGCTGGCTCAGATCATTCATGTGGTGGTGTATGCCAGCAAAGTCCTCCGTGTATGGTGGTGGTTGTTGCTGCTGCTGTTGCTGCTGGAAGTCGGGAGGTGTGGGCATATCTTGCATCGCCACGAGCCCCCGGAGGTCCAGCTCGAAGTCCAGGGAGGGGTGAAGAGCGAACTGGCTTCCCCGGCGTATCAGCATCCCCATGTTGACCAGGATTGACCCGTTGATGGGCTCGGGTCGGAGATTGTGGGCCAGCTCCTCCCGGTCGGGGCACCCCATTCTTTCTGCTAGAGGGGTGATGAGGGGAGCCACAAGGATGGCCCCCGTGGATCTACTCCCGAAGTCCTTAAGGGCCCTCAGGAGGAAGTATCCGGGGTTGCAGCGCCTCTTCTGGTGCATGCAGTAAAGTACGAAGAGGTTAGGGAGGGATATCTTACCCTGAATCTCTTTCCTCCCATGGATGGTGCCTGCCAACAGCTTGTGGCAGATGCGGAGTGCCGAGGGGAGTGCAGATCCCCTCATCAGTGTGGGCAATGTGGTGGCTCCTGTGAGCTCGTGCCACATCTCAGCGGAGGTGAGGTTGGTGGGCCTAGAGCAGATGGCCTCACGGTATTCCCGAGTTAGTGAGTCCCCGGGGTGGATGAATCCGATGGCTAGGTTGAATTCTTCAAGGGTGGTGGTGTGGTATTGCCCACCCATGAAATAATTAACCATCTTGGTGGGCTGCATGCCCGAGACCATGGAGGGGACCTCGATGAGAGAGACAGAGGCCAGGAACTCCAGTACCGCTTGTGGGTACACATGTGTGGGTGGAGGTTGCAGCAAAAAGCCCCACCCAATACTGTCTATGTGGGCCCGGACGTCCTCCTCCCACCCAAATTCAGCCAGGACGTTGAAGTCAAGCCTCAGCATTGAGTGCCACGGATAGGTCCGGATGTTGTCTAAGCGGGCTTGGTGCTGAGGTGATATCTGAGAGGGGTCCTGGGGTGGCGGTGGTGCAGAACTGCTGGCACCAGCAGTGCTCCTTCTCTTCCTGGAGGCACTTCTGCCGAACATCTTCACTAGGAAAGGCTTGAAGGAGTGAAATATGAGAGTTGGAGGCTTTGGGGGTAAGGAGAGTTGTGAGGAAGTCCATCCAGCGCGCCCCCTTATATAGGGAATTTTTCCAGGTCGAGACCGCCGTCTGGGAAGTCGAGACGGCGGTCTTGTTTTGCTTACAGGTCGAGACGACGGTCTCGACTTGCAAGGGAACCGAGATGGCGGTCTGGAATGTCCAGACGGCGGTCTCGAATTTCTGGTGTATTTTTTTTTTTTGAATAAGAAAATAGGACCTGGTTCAAAAACATTTTATGCATGCAATGTTTTTATGTTTGATGTCCTATAATGCCTACTTTGGTTAATATTTCAGAAGGATTTAACCGACGTGTCTTGTAGCGCCGAGTGCCCTCTAATCTTGGTTCTTGTACATGCTGTACCATGCCGGATTTTTGTGACCGAAGAATATTTGTTTTTTCCTTTGCTTTCTTTCTTTCTTTTCTTTTTCTCTTCTTCTTTTCTCTCTTTTTTTGTAGAGCGCTCTTTGTCATGTAGTGTCCCTTTTTTCTTCGTTTTAGGGATT